AAGACTTCAGTTAATGTTTTGAATGCTCTGAACATTCTCCTCATGTGTCCTTTGTTAACCTCTCACGAGTTATCCAAGGTTGATATCTGCTCTTCTCTTCGTCGGTTCCCATAAATCCGTGGGGTGCATGTAATGGCACAAGCCATTATGGTTCTGTGTGTGCGCTGTAGTTTGAATTGAACGTTTGTTCGATGCCGGTCTCGTTTTAGCCTTGGTTCGTAACACGCACGTGTTGGATATCCCATTATGTAGCGAGGGTGAGCTATTGGTTATTTAATTTCATGATGAATCTAAAAAAAATGGAGCGAGGTACGCTAATGAAANNNNATCGCATTGGTCTCCATGGTTTCTCTCCCATGGGTTTGCTTTGTTCCGCGGCGTACCTCAAATATATGCCAAATGGTGAGCTGATGCAATTTGGTATGTGACATAAGATCAATTCACTAACTACTAAACCGAATATTGAACGCAACTGCTTATCCATCTAATTCACCAATAAAAAAAAGAAAGCGGTCCCGATACCGCGTGTTTTCAAGGAACGTTATTAAAACAATTGGGACATAGGCAACAAAAGTCCCTTTTTTTCTCTCTCGTAAAAAAAGCGAGAGTTATTGGATATAGATCATGATAACGGCCACTCATTGAGCGCTATCTGGTTCTAGGGGAAAACTCACCTTGCACGTCCAACTCAATATCGAACTTTGCTTTGCCAACCACATTTCGAGCAATGCATGTGTAAATTCCTTCGTCTTTTGCCTGAAAAATAGAGAAAGCAAGTATCAGAGGAATCGTTAAATAATGGGTATATTTGCAATGTGATTTATCTGGAAATGCATGTGCCTTATGAGCTTTATGTGGAGAACATTTTCTGTGTGATCGATTCTATCAGGCTGGAATTCGAAATTCCAGATCTAATTGGGAGCAGACAATAAACTGGTCAATCTGGAGCTTTGTCTAACTCTTTGTGATGATGGATAAGTCCTCCGAAGGTCAGAAGTAGCGAGGAGGGAGAAGTGGACTGAACATTATGTATTCACTTCCGTAGCTTCTTATTATTCAGTGTAATGAATTTTCCTGGACACTCAGTTTAGTCAATAAGACCAGAAGCATCTGAACAGGGGATACTCTGGCTGATGAACTCTGAAATGTGCGGAATATTTATTTAAATATTCATTTATTTATTCAAAATGAATGCCCGGAGCGCTTAACAGATTCCGAATTGCGAAGATATGAGATGACTCAATGGAGGGTTACAGCTGATAAAGAGACTGGTGCATCTCTTGACTATTCGAAGACGACATCTTGGCAGGGACTGTGAATAGAAGGCGGTCCCGTGCTATCATGAGAACGTTCCTCCAAGCAATTAAGCTCTTAACTTGATTTATATCCAGCCCATTAGTATATATACTGTTAAACAATAGAATACCTGATTTTGCAACCTCTTTCTGTATCTAATGATTTATTTGCTCCTGTAGAACCGGAACACTATTCGTCTGTACAAGTGCATCCATGAGCACCAACTCGGGTGAATAAAAAATGGAAGTGGAAATGAAAATCATCACAAGTGTGATCATTTTGTGTGTTATTGACACTAATCACAAAGCAAACAGGACCGATCCCTGTACCAACAGAGAGAGAGAGAGAGGGGAGAGATAAAATAACACGACTTAGTCCCGTGTGGTTTCGTATTCTGAACACAGCAGAAGCAGTCCACGTCCATTATTCACAACACCCGTCCGTCTGTGTACACCAAAACCATTCCCGCCACCACTTGAACTCTCATGGTCTGACTGCCTAAAAGTGACCCGTTCTTAACGAAACCCTCATCAAAACAATGATCAAAGTTTTGATTTGAAAACAACACTTCTTGGTTTTTGCGTTGACATTCAGTTGTTTTTAATTGAGTTTGTGCCGACATTTAGGTGTGTATGTGGAGGTGGGGGGTGGGTGGGTATGGAACAAAATGTAAGACGTGTTAAAATGTGAGGGTGTTGGTGTTGGTTGGATAGACCACTGTGTAGATGAGGCATGAGAGGATATTTTATTATTAATCAGTTATTGCAATGTCTGTTTTTCATAACTGATCAAGTTGTGATGAGATCTTTCCAAATATCCGAATCACGCAGTTTCCGTATGTTCTTCTCCCGATTTAGTTTCACTTCGAGAGAAAGAGGGGTGCTTTTACTTGGTAAAACTTTGTCAAAGACTCACTTGTTCAAGCCATCATAATCAACAACCATATTTGTAACTTTTTAAATGTGTTCTGACCCTGAGTGCTTGAGCTCCATAGTCCATTGAAACAGAAGATTGGGAAATTGGGGTGTGGTATGAGATACTGAGCACTTTACATCAAGTGCATCAAGTGCAGCAATAACAGCCAAGCATGACGCATAGACACAACAAGTTGAGGTGTGCACGTTCAGTCAATATCTAACTCACCCGAATATCGCGGATGATAAGATCGTACTTATCCAAGCTGTATTTGGATGATCCGCCAAAATCGATCGGTTGATTGTCTTTCAACCACATCACCGTGGCCGCAGGTTTGGCGTCCAACACGTTACAGTTCAAACGTTTCTCTTGTAAACCTTGTAGAGCCACTTGCTTTGGCTGGGTGAATGAAATCGACGGGGCCTCTGCGAAGGCGGATTAGATTAGAGATGCAAAAAGGAAAATAAATGTTTTTTGGGTAAACACATCTTTTGGACAAACTAAGCTGCTGAGGCTAATGAAAATCAAAAGTCCTCCAGCTCAAGTGCTCATTATTCGTCAAAGTACCCGGAAAAACCATAACCTGAAAAAAAATAAAAAATAAAGATTATTCCCAGTTCAATTTTGAAACTCATCTGTGATCGATAAGTTTCAAGGTCATTTCACGCGTTACTCCTTATTCAGTGTTTGCCGGCACCCCCATCCGCCATTTACTCTTTGAGTCACTCTCCATCTCAGCCCCATGAAAAAAAACCTTGTACGATTCCATTGCTCATTCAAAGTAGTTTTCAGTTCCATCCAGAAGTTTGTATAACCGCCACTGGTTCAGTTTTCTTCAGGATTGATCTCACGAGTACTCGATTGGATTATGATCAGGGGATCCAAGGTTTCACGACAGCCTCCTTGTACCGTAATTCGGATAAAATTCACATACGACACAGGAACGCTTGATAGGCATCGCATAATCCTGAAAACCAGTTTCACAGTCGAGCTCTACAGTAACAAGACTCGTTGGATTAGTCTTTCTAAAATGCCAATAAATTACCTCTGATCGAAAGCATTCCATAAACAATTAGACGACGGTACAGGCAGACGTTAGTCGAACGGATGGCTGCCACATCGTACAGCGGAGCATGCATGCAAGCATTGAACCATAGCAGGCATAACTCGCTCCATTAGGTCACCTCTGGCACCCAGTTAGGTGTGTCCATCGCAAAGCAAGTGCACGTAAATTTACTTTACTAGATTTAGTCATAATTGCATCATTGGATGGCAATGGCAACCGGGGTGTAGGCACTGTAAGAAGACACCGAACAGTCTTAGTGGGTATGTGGAATTAGATTTAGTTCTCTTTGGGGAGAGGAATAATAATTGTCGAACAGTTCTTGCACCCAGGAATTCTGGTTTCTGTATCAGTCAGGAAGTGATGAGTCCGATGTTCATCTTAGGCGCCAACGCAACCACACAGCCGTCAAAATCGACGAGGTTGTTCATGTGAGTTTGATCATCATAATATATCGATCGACAGGCGAACTGTTTGGCTACGGGAACAAGAAAACCCTCGTTGACCACTCAAAGCTCTTGATCGAACTTTCTAAGATCACGCAAATCCGATATTGAACAACGTTTTACATCCTTAGCTGCTTCCACTGATCCGAAGAAAAAACTACCCATTTATTCCACTCATTGATACGCGATGATAAGCACCCGCATAAACCATATCATTCGGTTTTGAAAGTTGTGTGGTTACGTTCGCTTCCTTCGTGAGAATGAGGATCTTTAGCTCTTAAATGCTGTTCCCAAACACAAATCATGGATGGTGGACTGACTGTTTGTCTGCCTTTACTCTCACCAAATAACCACAATTCCTGCCACAACCCAACTCCATTTGGCACCTGAAATCATTCGATATTAGTCGTTCGTGGCGTGCCCAAATTCAGGTTCCGTTGCAGTCCTGACCACATCTGATGGGTGCGTTCAATTGAGGGGAACCAGATAGGTCGGGGACCCGATTATGGCAGTCATTACAACAGTTTGATTTGGCGCATACGTGTATACATCGCTGTGTGATGTGGTCCTATTCGCTCGATTGATCTCGGGCAGCGTGTCGTGTGCAGAACGATTTCAATCCGTGTATGGCTTGAGTGATTTCCGGGTTTAAGATGCCCTGTATGCGATATTGTCTATAGAAAATAGCAGCTTTCTCGGACCATCCGGTAGGATGATCGCTCTAATCTGCATTGAATTTTCATTGTGTTATGTCGTTGCCGTCATCATGTCACTTGTTAGATTCAGACAGATACCCGTGTACGAAGTCACACCCCAACGATATTGACTGAATGACGAAAAACATGAATCCCTCGGTCCAAATGGGCGGATTTCAGCTTTTCTTCTTTTTGCACAAACCACCTCGTTGACTGCTTTGATTGCATCCTTCGGCGAGGTTCACTCCACGGAGGAACAGAAATGTGTCTTCCTGATCGAAATATTGACGAGAAACAATGTGGGATCTATCGTTCCATCGGAATCGTTAGGGCTCATGAGTGATTTTGAACAGATCGATGCTCATTGTCCTTATCGATCTGAAGGGACCGAAATTTTTTACTTGTATTATGTGGTATCCACATTTCATTTGAATACCAGACAACCTTCAATTATAAGCGCATCAAATGAACTCAACTGAACAAATGCACACGTGAACGAAGGAACCTAAGCGTTTGTGTTACCTTGGCAGAAAGTTCCATGGGATCCCGACAGACGGCGGTGAGCTGTTTTACATCAAAATACTATTGGGGTTGATTAAAGCTAAACGTTCCCGAACTAGTGGCATAAAGCTTCATCATTGTTGTCTATTTGGGACGTGTGTGGAATAGTGCGGAAAAGTGTCGTCTCATCTCCAAGGGAGACCAGTTATCCGAAGCGGAGTTTTGTAACGGGAAATTGTTGCAGTCTGGTCAGTTATTTTTACAGAATGATGACATATAACATGGGCAACCCTACGCACACAAACACAGAGTGCACTCCGATTAAATTAATACTGCAGTTGATGAGTGGTGATACATCAAAAGTAAAATATTCGTTCAGGTGAAAATTTTAAAAAATCAGAATCAACCTTATCTTTTCTGTTTTTAGAAAACAATGAGGGTCTGATCAACGTTTTTCAAGGGGGGAGGGGGAGTAATCAAAAGACATGTGAGAAAGTAGAGCGGGGGTAACGTGGTTCGAGCGGACGAACTATTGGTTGACGAATGAATGTTTCTACTTTCCCTTCTGAATTTTTTGAGTATACAAATGTACCGTCAACTCTGAGGAAGGGGCCTTTGTCGTGAATGATCACTATCAGTGCCACTACTGTATATAAAATGTAAATCAGATTTGGCGGGAGACGCATACCATACATCCGGTGATGGTGGCCCTATTCGTTATCCTTCTTCCAATAGATCTCGCAATTTATCGAACAGCATCAGCTATTGATCGATCGCGTGCACAATAATGAGCCACAAACCTGACCTGATAAAAGTCCTTGTTTGATCTAACTGTGATTTTCCAACACCATCTGTCTGTCTGTTTTCCTCAAACGGGCTACTTTGTTCCAAAGCCCCCATTTTTGGTTCCCCCATACTCTTCCTTTATTCCCCCTGCTTCCAATACCACCGGTACAGTTCTTCTGGTCTAAGCTCTCAGTGATTGCTAAGGATCCAATGCCTCCTCCGTTGTTATTACCGAGTACCGCAATCACACTTCGGGTAGAGTTTTGTTCTATTCCTCGTATCTTTTTAATTTTAGTCAGCTTAGGGCTAACCAACTTGTTGGTGATCTAAGGCAGATATACTTTATACAGTGTACTGTTGCTTCGCTGAACTTTGGTACCAAAACTGTCGCGTTTACTATTTGCAAGACCTTAGGATCCGTGATTGAATTTGCAAAATCAACTCCCGCGATTAGCTAGAGAAGTCTAGGCAGTATTACTTCTTCATTTAATGGATTTCTCTGAGTTTTCTGTACAATTTCTTCGGATTGTACTACCTCTTCTATTTTTTCTTAGTCCATATGCATTACCCAATTTCGTGACAAATGTTTGGCTTTTCCCACTCACTCATCCGGCTACTGAATTACCAGTTCGTTTCTTCCTTAATCCATGGATGACAAAAAAGAATAGAATGCCTTTCTAACTTAGAGTTTGTGCGCATATACGAGGACGGAAAGGGGTCCCCCAATCCATCGTCCTCTGTGTAAATGTGGATCACCAGGGAAAAACTTACTCGTTCCTCCGATCTCAACCGTGACTGAGTGGCTAATTTTACCGTACATGTTGGCTGCCTCGCACACGAATGTACCACCATCTTCCATATTTACATCTGAAAACATCGAAGGAAAAAAGGCAGTAAGGACAACACTAAACTTTTGCAGTTATTCTCACTGGCATACAAATGCTGAGTTTAATAGATAATGAATTTGTCCTAAAAATGAGGTGTGAGCTGAAAAGCTGGGAAGCACTGGATAGCTGTTTCGACCTGGTTGGGTCTCATCAGCAGTGCGAATCCATCGACCCTACCGGGGATTGAACCCGGGACCTCACAGGTAGAACGCAGGGATATTAAACACTCAGCTCAAGCCTCATTTACACGATGAATTCATCATCTTATCAAAGGAACTCCTCCATTCCTCTCAAATTCTGATTTGAGTTCTCGGGGGAATGCAATAAACAACGAATGCTGTTCCTTTTGTTCCTGTAAAGTCAAACGGAACAACTTTATGACTATCACGATTGTCCCACACTTAACCTCGTCTCAGGGATTGTTAAAGTGTTCGGACAAAATGCATTTCCAGAGCAGCAATAAATTGTTCTTTTTTGGTTTCTGTGTATTATAAAAGAAAAGCTAATTTGTGGTGATTGGTTTGCAAGAAAAATCTCAATACGAACCATAGCATCAAGGTCAGTTTGAACGCCTATCTATGTAGGTCACATATTGCCCTCTTTTCACCAGTGATTAAACACATCCATTCTAATCAACTCAACTTAACCGTTATGCGCAACAATTCAAACCATAGGGGTGATTTACCACCAAGTAAAAAACACCGTACCTTCAATGTACAACGAATTATCCTTCTGTAATTGATATCGATCACCGTATTTGATCGGCACATTTCCCGAAGCGGTAACACGGTACCATTTGACTGCCGGGGTGGGTTGACCAGTGACCGGACACGTGAGTGTTGCATCCATGGAGAATTCGGCTAACACCTTTGAAATAGCCACATCGGTACGAATTTTCGGTGGAGCTGAGTGAAATCGAACAAAAGCAAAAAAAGGAATCCAGATAAAATTAACTTGTCGTTATTTTGTATATACGATTTAGCAATCCTTGTATGCTTGTACACGTTCGTTCACCATAATTTATTAACCCCATGTGCTATATATATGCTTGTTTGTTTTAAGTAAGTGATTGAGAAGCTTACACGAAATGTTAACATCTCGCGACATTTGTCTTCTTTCTATATGAATGATATATACGGTTAGTTTTGTTTGTACTAACAATCCACCACTAACCGTCAAACCATTCTACATAAACAGCTACAACCATGGCAATTGACNTGACTCATTTGGGCTTCCACCAATTTATTTGTTCTTCCTCGTTGTGTTCAGCTAAAAACAGGGTCACCAGCCCGATGTTACTTGTTCATTGATCAATTAAGTTATGCAGATGTCTGATAATGAACACCCGAGGATCAGTGGAGTAATCAGCTGATTCAAGGCGTTTTGCACTGGCGAGATCAGTCTAGTGACAGTTTTACAACCATGCAAATGGTCCAAATTAAGTCACCGATCTGTCTGCTTCTCGCAGGTAGGTGTGTCCATCAGGATGGGTGGATGGGGAAGGGTGGAATCCACTGCTCTGGAGATAACTACGGTAGAGTACAAACGTCACAATCAGAATTATGGCACGGCACCATGGTTTGATATGGAACGATTCCCGTGGGGGTTGAAATCAGAAATTCGTTCCTCTCGGTGCGGGAAGAGTGAGGAAACGGGAGTGATGGCAGACAGACAGTGAGCGATATATGAATCGTTTTCATTTTCACGATGAAAGTGAACATACCAGCGGAACTAAGAGGGCGAGTCTGGTAATACGAATGCTGCCAGTGCTCACCGCATTGAACTGGTGCTATTGTCAGGTGAATGTATTCATAATACGTGAGAAACTGTAAAGCGTTTCATTGCCACCAACAATGATGCACGGTAAATACCCGCGAGGTAGATTCGGTGGTTGATCGAAACGCTTCGGGCAACGGGAATGATGTGCAACAGGAGAGAATCTTGGAGAACACGTTCAACCACTGATCCCGTTTCCCCTGACCTAGGTGGTTTGTATAAATCGCCGAATATGTGATCAGATTCTTTTCATACAGCATAATCAATACGGGTTTCCTATCTATATGTGACGATGACACCAACAAGAAAGACCTCGCCAGACTTTTTAGCCTTTGTCGTGAGAAGCAGAACGATTATCTGTCGAATGTTCCGTGGGGTGGTGTCTCTCTCTACCTGCCATTACCTTCACTCAGTCACACAATCGTGTACAGGAGGCTCTCAATCGACTGTTGTTTGAGTGATCTTCAGTAGTCGGTTGTTTGTATGTATTAATGTGCACGAATTTGGTTTAAACAATAACCTCTTGACGGCAAACGGTCAAAAAATCAATGTGACAGCCTGTAAAACGCACTATGTATCGATCCACTGATTTAAATTATCCAAATCAGTACTCCTGTACACACTAAAACCTGTGGTATATTTTGTGGATGAAATACACGAGTGAACTATTCTGTTTTAGACCGTGGCAAACAAATAAAAGAATAAACTTGTAAGCTTTAATGTTTTATAAGAAATTTTCCAATTAGAATTCAGCAAACTTAGATTTGACTGGAAAATAGTTTGACTATCTTCCTTTTTCATCGGGGTTCATTTGTAATCCCAAACTATTACCAAGACTATTCTGCTCCTGATGGTCACTTGTCATTTATACTCATTTGCACCGCATTAAGCATCATCCGTGTGTTGAGATGACTATCCTTAACAGGTGAAGGAATGAGGTCCGGGATGGTTGGGATCAGGACATACGTGGAAAATAGAAAGCGCCATTCCTAGCCATTAACTGTGGAAAAATATCATTAAAGAAGACCCGAATTTACGTTCAGGGAAATCTGCTGTATGCCTCCTGTACGCACTTGCTCTGTTAACACAAAGGTGAATGATTCAAGTTCACTGTTTATCCTTACCCAAAGTTAAGCATCAACACCATCCAATCACAATCAATTTTTTATCTCAAACACGGCAATCCGCCTCTGAACCATTTAATACCGGCCTATGTATCTGTTCTCCTACTATTCCCAAATGAGCTGTTGACTTTTTGTCAAATTAGCACCCCCGCCTCCGGTAAACACAAAAGCCCTACATAATCTCCACAGATAGGATTGTGAAAATTATTGCTCGACCATGTTGCTGTGTTCCAGTGATCGTATTCCGGAATGGAAAGCATTTCAAATTCTTCCCGGAACTTTGTTCACATTGACGTCGTCTTTTGATGACTGATAGCCAACACACACAGATTTAATCCTCCTGAAAGTCATTGGTCATTTCTTCAGTGGTTTCACAATTTGTTCCAGACCGGTTTTGTCGTGTGCAAGCTCTCTCTCTCACACATTCTTTTGCGATGATGATTCCTGACACTGTGTCAGAACAGTCCGGGCGAAAAAGTGATTACTTGACTTTAGAAAGATCTCATGCTGGCAAGAGTGCGGGAAGTGTTTCACCCGGTACTGCACGAGGACTTGATTAGTAAAGGCTACTAAAGCGCAGCACTTCCGTGAAATTTGTGTACCGTTGCTAGGACGTGATTGGTTGGATGTTTGGAGTCAGTTTATCCTTCAATATGTGAATAGATGATAACTGGCCGTCTGGCTGTTGAGAGATGGAGTGAGAAAAGCCTAGTTGATGCGGCTGCGGGACGTTTCGTGCTCAGTGGTATAGTCTGCCCTCACTCCATTGATTCACTGAACCATTTGTTCAGCCGATATTGCCGGAAGCGACTCGAGAAATAGAATGAGCACAAACTCATGCTCATCCTATCTGGGCCAGACAAAAGTATATTACAACTTTTTTTCCCAACAATAAACAACAACAACAAGAGACGTAATTCCGTGAAAATAGATTAAGATGGGAAGGAAAACAAAATGAGGGAGAGGCAGGGTGAGTGCGACTCACATCCAACTTCCAACTGAATGGACTCTCGGGTGGCACCAGCCAGATTTTCCGCGATACACGTCCATTCACCCTTCATGCGCTGATCGATAACCAGCAAGTCCAGTTTTCCTTGTTCTTCATCAATACGAATTTGAGTACCGGTTGTGACCTATGGTGCGCGAAAGAAAAGGAAATCATCAATTACTTTTTCAACAACCGTCTTCTACACCTGTGTGGTTGGGTGACCATTACAACGTCCTATGAACAAGCTCAAGTATGCGACCGCTAGGGGAGAGGATGACATAAATAGCCATGCTTTTTCACCAGTGAATAATATTAACGAGACTCTTGTCTTTGATAGCAGAAAGAAATATAACACTGCCAGTCCAGAACTTACCGGGCTTCCGTTAAACTCCCATTTGACGCGCGGTTTAGGTTGTCCGGAAACATGACAAGTGAACGTTTGTCCCTTCCCAACCACCGGGCTCAAATTCGACATCTCCAGTTTGTCAATTTTCGGAACAGAGATGAAACTGGCCGTGATTGTTGACGTGCTATTACCGGCCGAGTTGGTTGCCACACAAGTGTACTGTCCAGCATCTTTCTCGTTGGCTGGTTGAATGATCAAACGCGATTCCTGATCAGAGGAAATTGAGAAATTTGCAAATGGGTTATATTTTCTCGTAGTACTGCCTTTTGGCCAAAGTTATCGATGAAATTTTATCAGATCACTGCGTAACTGATCAAAATCAGTTAGTTGTACAATAAGGTCTCATTTAACAGCTTTCTTCTAGGCTCGGATGGAACTATCTTCATTTTGTTAAAGGTTTAGCTACATCACTTGTAGCAATTTTCTTAGAGCATTGGTACACCGATTCGCTAACGCTTCGGAGGCCTCAAGCTTAAACAGCGACCCTCGCCCAATTCCACCACCAGACAATATCTGACGAACAAAGATGCATACTTCTTCCGATAGAGGTTTGTGTCGCATCTCCTTCCTTGCATTTCAGGTTACAATGAATCGCGGAAAAACGAAACATTTAGTATTCCATTCGTGTTATGTCAATCGGGAACATAACAGCAGCTAAATGGCAGTTGACTCACTTTATCATCTCTCTCTCGCGCAAAAACTTATGCGGTCAAACAAACAAAATCAAACTTCATGGACCTTGAAGTTTTGGATGAATTTTCCCAAACGAAGAAGGAGAGATTCTCAAAACGATGAATATCATATTTTTCTCCGGTCCATTCACTTATCTCTTGATATTGGGTGTTGCCAATAACACGATATGAGTGCAATGCCTCTTAAATGTTAACCGAGTCTTGCATTCCAATTATTACCGCGTACAACGTACAACTTTCGAATGAAAACCATCACCACCACCACTGCAATCGCAGGGAAATCCGAAAAGAAAATTGGAAAAACGACTCACAAGATCATCCTCATGAACAGTGATTCGTGACTGATCCACACCACTGATAGTGATTGGAACCTTGTTGAAGAGCCATGAGATTTTCGGTTGAGGAACACCTTCTGCAAGACAAGTGACAACCAAACTCCCGCCGTCTTTGAAAGTGATCTCTTCTGTGGTTGTGCTCACCTGTGGGAGTACTGGAGGACAAAAAGTATCCAACATCATGTATATTATTTGGTTGAACACGAGCAGCAGAGGGGGAATTTAACTTATACCCCACAATAAATACAAGATGGATACAACGTCGTCATCTGTTGTCGTTCGAGACGCTAGTACACAGCCCCTCAATTTCTGGCTAATTAGCACACTTGACGACAGCTCACTTCCTCAGATAGAATTTTGTAAGTTTTGGTCATCTTGTAGGGGCCACATGCTATTCACTGCTTAAGAAAGTGAAGCAAGCCTCTCATACCATTCTCACTTTTCACATTTATGAAACTATCAGTGTACACTATGTGGCGAAGTTCAGACAACCGTATTCAACAATTGGCTGCTTTGACACCTGTTAGTACTCATTTCAATGAACTTATGCAAGGACTTTGTTTCCCTCGTCTGCACAATCTTCCGTGAAAAGGATAGGGTAGTGTGATTCAAGCAAGCTCATCTATGGACTCATCTAAATCTAAAGGATTCCTCGGAAATCTGCAAAGAGTTAATCTAAATTAAGACTAGAATAATGGTACTTTTCAGCTTCCCTGAAACCGCCCAATAGTTTGACCTCGTTTTTGATCAGTCGGTTGCGTTCCCTGGGATCGGATACTTTAAATAGTTTTCCCACTTTTTACTCATCGAACGAAACAACGTATGAAACCTGAAGTAAATCTGTAACTTAGCTGGAAATAACCTGACTACTGCTACGTGCGCATTCGTCCGGCAGTTCACATTGATCGCCCAATCACGTGGTACACTTGGTCATGACGGACAATGACCAATACCCTTCTAGGACATTTTGTCCGTGAGTCAACTTTACCTAGTTTTAGGCCATTGTTTAATCGATTGATGCATTCTCACAATCACCCATTAAATCGTTAACCCGGTTTCGATCAGCACACTCTCTTAGGTGTACTGATTTTCTGTATTTGGGTTAAGAGACCCTAACAATACTGTGAATTAGCATTGTGATTGGAATTCGATCTTAACAACCACCAACCGCGTAAAATGTTTAAATAAAGGTTTGTAATGGCAGTGACCATTTTCTGTGGAGTCACCAGTAAAAAACGCGCATTGTGTTACCTTCATGGCGGAGCGCATATTACGGTTGTTAAGTAAACTCTACTTGAAATATGATTAAAGCCTCGTGGTTGAAGTCTAGGAAACACCATGAAAGTATTTTCTCCAAATAAATATTACAAGTGTTGCGAATCTACATCATTGATTTGATTGTCTCCGAGGAGGAAACACATGAGTCGCTGAACTACAACGACCGTAAAATTGTACGATGGTTTTGTAACGCAGATACAAGATATATACAGATCAATAAAACAGTGGGTCTATCGATGTTCGAAAATTTGATCGTAAGCCGACCGGAAACTTATACTCCAATAAAGGTTAACTACCATCGGGTACAAGACGCGCTGCAGCCTGATTCGTACTCGCCCTACAGGCCGCGAATACGACCGGAGTCTGTCTGTAATCCGACCATATACGGAAACGAGAACTGTTAACTCAAACGTAAATACGTTTGAAGTTCTGGTTAATCACCAATGGTTACTAATCAGTAGTATATTGTTGGAGGTAATGTATTATGAGATCATTTCTCAACCGAGAGAGTACTAGGAAGATGTAGGCGTTTGGTGTGGCCGTAAACATGAGAAGAAGGTTCATTTTAGGTTTTTTCTTTAGGGTTGTTTTCTGTTTCACGGTTATCTTCCGTTCAACAAAAAATCATTTCAGAGGGTTTTATTTCTCATTTTCATGAAGGTATTCCAGCTGAAGAGGAGCGGACCAGATAAAAGTGAATTGAATAACACTATCCCGCTTGCACCTCGGTAACCGAATCCGTGTGAATAGGACCATAATTCAAACTTACCATGAATGTGTAGAAAACCATCCGCTTCACTCACGCCTCCTTTGTGCTCTGCCTCACAAACATAACGACCTGCATCGCTCTTGGTGGCCGCCCTTGAACGGGGTTCGGTGTGCGTAATCCACGAATAGAAAATAATTGGAAACGGTTGAAAAGCAGAGGATATAATTTAGTTGGGTAAGAGGAACTATCACTGGAACATCTATTTTAGTGTTCCTTAGAAATGAAATGCTCTCAATTTGTGACCTCTGAAGTTTGGTACAAAATGCAGAGCAGCAGCAACAACTTCTGATCATTGTATTGTTCAATTCATAGAAACAATCGGAAAAGAAGCAAAACACCTGTTGTGGGGGCTGTGTGCACAAATTCCCCCCCCCCTTTGTCGTACTGCCGAATTTCTGCTTTGGCTCTTCTTTATTTTAATTCTGGACTTACTCCGGCTTATGAGATTGAAATTGTGCAGATTGCTTCCCTAACCATAAATGGCTTCCTCTGTTTACTTATATGGTGGGAAGTGCACAAACACAATATGCGTTTATATGCTGAACTAAATGATTTTTTAACTCATATGATTTGGATAAACCGATGAGAACACCTGAGCAGTAGTACGTCCTGATCATGTTCTGTTTTCATTGAAAATCATGAACTCATTTCAACAGGAAAAAATACGGTTAATCTGGACCGATTACGAGAGTCATAAGCTCCTGATTGCACTTCAATTGATGGAATAAGAAACATATTACTGAGAGTAGTAGAAAACGAGCTGGATAAAACGACCATTCAGGTAGATCGGATGTGTTTCTCACTTACGTGATTGTCAGTTTACTAGTCCATGCTTGTGCAGGTCCTCCGGGAGGAGCGGCCTGTTGTGTCTCGACGCGATAGCGACGCCCCTCTTTCAATTCAAATCGAGGTTCTAAACCGCGGAACCACCGTATCTGAACATCTTCATCCAAACTGAATACGTTGCACGTCAGTACAGCATTGGCACCAGGTTCGACGCTGGTGTTACGCGGCACAAGGACTCGTGGTGGAGGTGCTAAAAGGACGAAATGCATCCATTATATTTTTATGCTTTTAGAATCACGCAACCTTAATTCACAATGTGAGCATATTCGAATTTACTGTTGAAAGAAATCAACTGAACACTTTAAAGTTTTATCGGTCAGAAAAAAATTGCTATGAAATAGAAAAGTTGGCGGACGGAACTCTTATGATAGAACAAAGTACTCTGATAGAACGCCAAATCTGCTTATTAAGGAATATCATTGATATATATGTATATGTATATTTCGTGTAAATCTTCTTTGACCTGATGCAAATATATTCTTATGAGTTTGTCAATTCAATGGTTTTGCACATCTGCAATAATAAATTACCAAAGCCACCGGATTTTATATAATGTTGATTTTATTGGCTTTTCATTGAGAATACCATTATGCTATCAAATAAAAGAATACGTAGGACGTTAGTCAATCAAGTACTGTGTCTGTGGGTAAAAATGGAAAACTATCAGGATTTGAATGAACGAACTAAAGATTCGTAGAAGGGTGACACACTAAACGTAACGACCACTATTCGTCAATTCAAGCTAATTCGCAAGACGATTCGGATATTGAAAAATGAATAAAAGACTGAAGGCGAGGGTCAAAAACCGCTTGTGTTTTGACGCAACACTTTGCGAATAATTGATTGAGTGCAAGTTTTATTGAATATCTATGAGGTAAAAATGACAATTTAGAGAGTAGTTTAATGCAGGATTATCTCAGGTTAAATCTTATGCTAATTTGTTTACTTTGTAGTGATTCGAGCGCATAGATCAACCACTAGAAGCAAAGAACTAGCTGTTGGAAATGAGATTCATTTATCCCGTGACGCCTATGTTTGATGCAGCACCAAATGATCTGAACTCGTATCATTTTGATTCGGTCATAGATTAGCAAACGTTTGGCTCTTTATAGGATAGAACGGTAAATTTTATTGTTCATTATATGAGAATTCTCCTAGAGTGTAATGAACACAATGCAAATTCATTTGGTCAGATTGTAAAACCATACCCATTCAAATTCCAGTGAAATCATGGTAACTGCAAAGGAATCTCATTATTCGTATTCTACGGGAACCCCACAAAGTGATTGACGCTTCAACCGTCATACGTCACCGTTTGATTCATGAATTCCTCCATGGAGGCGACTCCTCCTTGCAGAGATGAAAGCTGCTTATCAATACCAAAGCAGCCCTGGGTTGATTACGGTACCTGCCTCTACTTAAAACGGATGAAGCACCCGGTACAAAGCTGTCATTCTTTGTGGAATCAAGAATAACTATGAGTTATTCTTATCGCCACATCTCCCACTAACTGAAACACAAGGGTTACACAGATTTTATCAGGTTGTAAATTAATGTGATGAAGCTAAGTACTAAAGGGACAAGCTGGAGGTGACAGTTTGTTGCCATCAGCATTGTGATTAGAGACGCAATGTTCAATCCGGTAACGTTTATTATCTGTTAGCCAGTGAATGAGTTCAAATTCGATTATGCTATTCATTTGAAATTCTATTTGTTCTTTCAACGTATCATTAAGCTGTTGATTAGTATCTTGTCAAATGTGCCTTTCAATGTCAGGAATATGTAGGTGATTGCATTTGTTTCATGGAATTCGATGTTATTCGAGGGAACTTCTGCGTCAATAGAATTTACTCACTAGGCTACTGATGGTCGAGATTCAACCCACTCTTCCAGTGATCCATTCCAGTATTCACGACTGAGCATATTAACCGATCTATCGATACTTATAGCCTAGATCGGTAACTCACTCAAAATTACTTTTGTTTGTCCATGGAGAAATCAGTTCCATCCGACCGGACGGGGTTCGAATGGACCCAGTTCAATGGGTGACATGTGACGGCAGAAAAATCAATCACTTTGTGGAATTCTCTTGGAATACAACTAATGAGATTCACTTAAAGTTAGAAGGGTCTCCCTTGAAGATATAAAGGTATAGCCATGTTTCAGAAGGATTTAAAATTTTCCGAAACTAAGTCTCAAATCGCTTTATTCATCCCGGTGGATGAACTTTCACCACTTGCGGTAGAAGCTTGACGAGGATAGTGATGATACAAATTTTATTGCTGCTGGTGATGACAAAATTGAGGTATATATGTACAATATTCACAGAGCAATCGAGAATGAAGTTCACATTCACTGCTCGACCAAGTGTAAAATAAAAACGCATACCTTAAATGCCCACAAACAGGAACTATTTGATTCATTCTTAGACCACTCATGAGTAAGCAATCAGAACTCGCGTCAGGAACTTACGCAGAATCACCACAGCAACTTCATCTTTGTATTCGCCTTCAATCTTCAGTTCACTCGCGGCCACAGTTGGCACAACCTCAGCTGAATATATTCCATGGGAGTCTTCATTTGCATCCGCAATCGTAAACATTACGTCCGAAGCGAAGCTGGCATAGGTTAGTTCGATAGAGTGCAAGTTAGTCACAGTAACTGATGGCGAATGGTCAAACATAACATTGACAAGTCAGAACATCTATTAAAGTGGTAAAGTTCCGTTTCATCTAAGACATTGATGATTAGGACATATCAGCTTATGAAAAGGTGATAAAAATTTCTGATACGGATTGTTCCTAACCGTGAAAACGATACTTTGATCAGCCAAAGCAACTTGCCATTGTATGAATGTTGAAATATGATTCTCAACCACTTGTCCACAGACCATAAAAACCAACCATTTTTATGGTTGGGTTTGCACTAACTAGTTCTTCGAGATGTCCTCAGATTGATCACACAAACTTCATCGCTGAACAAATAGTAACCCCGCGTTTAAAAAGTGAATTGAAGCGATGAATCCGCATGAAGTTCCCTCCAAATATTGCCCGCGGCCAGTGAGTTTTAGTTAGCTCCCCGGGGTACCTAAACTGTTGGTTCTGATGAATTACTAATGATGGACAAGTGCGACAAAATATAATGAACTATAATAATGAATTATCAAGCACAGAAAAAGGTTGACTGAAACGTATTCTTGAATCAATGAATTATTGAAATGGTTTGTTTTTAAATAGGGGTTCGATAGGAAATGCCTAGTATAAATGATCAATAAACGTTTACTGATAGAACACTATTGTTGATGGGTTTTTTTAGTTTATACCCAATTAGTGGGACATTAGACGGAGCTAATCGAAAAATATTTTTCTTTCTCGCGGTCATTGAACTGGTGAATCTGAATCAATAGGATGCAGCACGAAGAAAGTAACTGGAACACGAGAATTCAGCCCTGTTCCCAATCCCGTCGTTCTATGACAGATATGGCTCACTTCGGCCTCTTCTGTACAAGCATCCGTGAGAGCTGCCAAATTACTCCTGTCAGGAGTCATAATCCCCGTACGTCAACAGTAATTATCCACAGATTGCCTGCGACTATGTATTCCCCCTTTCCTGGTCGAGAAGAGAGGATACACATCGCTCGCGTCAAGTGGGCACGCATACACACACACACACGGAAACACATAAACACGCTGTGGTATTTATTTCTATCATTCAACCATTAATTTGATTGTGGCTGGCGGTCTAATTGCGAGTTTTAGTGTGTGGAAAAACTAGTATACAGAAAATACCACGTTCCCGCATACAACATCTACAGGTGATTGATTCTAATTGAACTAGTCGTGACAAGCTTTTCATCTATGAATACGAGGGACGCGAAATGGGACTACCATTCGACGATACGAAAATCTGAGTCGCATATCGGTTAAACACAGGAATTTAGCATGTTATCTTTAGACCTTCAACGTGTATGCACCTTCACTTCGTTTCATCCGTGAAATTTTTGAAATTTTTCGATGCACCATACTTTAAACGATAATATTTTGGCTATATGTAGATTTTCATCTCTGTGGAGCGACAGAAGCTGTCGGTTGTTGACTTTATTCCAGGGTTGCTAGTTCTGATGTACTGCGGAAATGTGGCATCGGAGTTTCACCGGGGTAAGAAGGAGAGGAATCTGAACACATTGCGGACTAGGATGTACTTTCTTCTGAATGTTGTTTAAAAGCCTATCTGGTGTGCTACTAGTGCTGTTTCTACTACTGATCTCGTTTTCTCTCTCTCACCAGATTAAAAAAATGTCTGCCCTGAGCACATTTGACAGGCACCTGAATGATGAAAGAACAAGATGGTTTGTGTGTATTGGTGACAGATGACATTTTGCTGGCCTGCACCGGCAGACTGTCCAAGCCAAACACCCGATTGCCTATAACACAGTACACATGAGCAAAGCCAAAGTTATTTCCCCCTCATTTGGGCTTCTTGGGCAAGTCTTTCGAGGTGATCACGTGCCGTGGATGAATTTCTTTGAAGTAACAATGAGGTTTGTCCGTCCGGATGTAAACATTTTTGATCTTTGATAATGCCTAATTTCTTTTTGGAATTTTATAGTTCATTTTTAGTAACCTGTAGGTTGGGAAATGAAACTAGGGAACTGAGATGTCAATCTGACATAAAACTCGATCATTCTTGACCGATTGACATATGATGGTTTAAGAAACTGAATACTGAAATTGAAATAAAACACTACATCAATCAGTATCATGAACACAAAGGAGAAAATTAAGGATATATTTCTATGAGAAACAAAATATGCCATCAGCAAAGATTCGTTGTTCAGTGATGGAAATTGACAACCTAAGCCGTGGGACTTAGAGTAGCCAAACACATAAGGTTCTTGTAGTTTAGGTGTGCTATTGAACTTGACGACAGCAAACCTGTCTACCTCCAACTTTGGCCGTTGGAGGTGAACCCTGGGAACATACAACCCGATGCGCGCTGGAGAAAACAACTAAACCGCCGCACCACTGCATTTTTTGTGTGAACGTCTGAAGCAGCGGATCAGATTCACATAAATCGTTGCAGAATGGTGTTGCTCTTAATTAGTGTGTAATAATTCAAACCTGATTCACCGAGTTTCATCAATTAAAATTGAAAAGATCTGTAAATGCTTCACCGATACTGCATTCTAATTTGCTCTGAATATTAATCGAAAATATTAGGATTCGAGGTTGTACACGATCGGTTAGTTTAGTTCAGGGCACAAAGCGTTGGTAAGGAGAATGCTGAAGCGTATAACGTGGTAGTCAGCCGTCAGAAACTCATTCGCTTACGTAATTTCATGTTTCCCGTCTTGCGCACTTGACAATTGCGAATTGTCAATAATTACTATCTGACGGGAAATAGATTGTCAGGACTTTCTATTCCAAGCAATTGTTTGTTATTAAAGTTGATTTTCCAGGGAGTGTCTTTTAGTTATTTCCACAGATAGTATGCTACTAACTTCACAAGTTCTCTTGCTATGACGAAAAAACATTCTATCGCATCCGACGGAAAGGGAACATGAAATAAAAGAATCGAGTGGTGGATACCGTACGGATTTTTTCTTATTGATTCCTATCAGCCAATGAATCCACAGGGAGGGGGAGGGGGTTCGGAGGCGGGGGGGAGGAGGAGTGAGAACTGAGGACGGTACACGTGTAAAGCAAATGACTATCATGTGGCTAATCTGCCTGTTTTGGTTGTCGCCAGTATGTTGTTTGTCATAATTGACGGTGAATCTGAATCATCGTCTAATCAAGTTGGAAGACGAACCAACGGAACTGTTTTACCCAGTCGTTCGAACAAAGCTTTCCAAATCCACATGACCCTTTTCCATGCATCATGTTTTTTGTCTTTTTACTTCCTTTTTCTATTTATTCAATATACAAACGTACAGTCAACATTCAGGAAAGGGGACCGGGGCCATACAAAGCCAGTCTGAAAAATACAGAATTAGGGAAGACGGGCGGCAGCGCGATTCGAAGCCGGGTCACAAGTCTGTGACCTAACCACTTGGCCATCACCGCCAGAATGAATGGGGTCTAAAATTTGAGGTCGATTCGGGACTCATTCCACGAAAGATGAAAATGATGAAATTTCGATCAGGGATTCCTACTGAGTACCAAAATAGTCAAATATGATGGATGAATTGAGACATCGTAACCAGAAACTCCTGCTGCACCCGAATGTGGACGGGGAGTGTTCCCCGACAGAGATCTCTACTTTTCTGTTTCTTGATCTTGGAGAATTCATTTCTGTATCGAAGGAAGTACAGAGTAGGCACAAACAACCCAACGAAGGGATGTGTGAGTATGCTAGTGATTTATATATATCATTGTTTCAGCGTTCTTCCACCCTCAACGAATCAACAAAATTCCGCAAAGAGTTTGCTTGATTACCCGATCGGCGAATTACGATTCACGTTAAGGAGCACAATGTTCTTTCTCGGTTCAGCAAATATTCCGTCTATAGATCAAATATTCAAGAAACTGTTTTTGCTTTGAAAGTTCAGCGTTCGGATTTATCTGTCAGTTGAACTACGAAATTCCCTCATTGTACACGTTCGTCAGTGAAATCATTATATCGATTGATGCGGAACTCACTTGTACACTTTGTTCTCGTCCGGACGTCCGCCCAAATACTTCCCGTCCTTGTACCATTTTATCGTGTACGGGACCTCGCTACTGACAAAACATGACAGATCACTTGTGGCTCCGCGTTGAAGCTCGACCTTTGCGGGGCAAGTGATCACTATCGGGCGAGGTTTGCGTCCGGACAAGGCAACTTTCGAGTAGCGTTGAAACGCGAATCCTTGACTGTCACGACCGGAAACCTGGAAGTGGTCAGATCGGTGCATTAGTCATTTAGTGTGATGCAATGAGACATAACGAAATAGCAGTTACGAACTGGGTAGAAAAAGAACAGAGAAGCCATAAATCGATTTGTTTCAAACGCTTTCTGGTGGTCACAAACAACCACTTAGATCACAAGTGAAGTTACAAAATAAGCTGAACATCAAATCCAAACCACGTAGAACAATGGCCATGAGAATTCAGAGTTGATTAGCTTCCTAGGGGTAGTGGAACATCCGGATTTATTATTCAGTCGAGGTATAATTAAGACACGGGATTTAAGAAACAGAAAGCAAATATTTTATGTAGCCCAACCGGTTTTACTGCCCATTTCATCTGCGTGATACCGTGGGGTAGAACACACTGTCATTTAATTCCACGGTTGCTTTTGGGTTTTACAACTCGTGTACATTCTGTACGTGCATGTATATGTGTGTGTTTTATTTGTGAGTCGAAAGAGGCTACTTGTGATCTTGCTCCTCCGTTTGTTATTCCAGTCGCCGTGCCGGTCACAGAACAATCTCGAGATTCCCCTAGTCAGGATAATTATGGATGATAAAATGAAATGAAATGCTGAAATTCGTATATCCAGTTAATTTTAAGGTTTTGACAACATTCGAATATAGGATGAATCTGTATTCCTAGCCATCATGCTTTATGAATCACATGACACAATCAATGAAATCAAATGTAAGTCACCTTAATCTCTTCAGGAAAACTTCATAATTAAGCTACAACAACAACAACTGCTACTACTCATATTAGTACTAATGCTACTAATGATGGCTATGCCATCATCAATGACGCCATTCTGCACTATGCTTTGTCCTATTCTTTCTCGTGCTCCGCTAGTATCCTCTCCGGTGATGACCAGTCCTTCTTCTTTAGCTCTATGCTTGAGGCTGTCGCAATTGCGTTTTATTCAGTAGTAATAAAAATTCTCTTATTTAAATTTCAACATAACAGTAACGGCTCATTCCACAAATTAATTTTTCACTCTCGCTTTCTGCCTTACTCAGACTCGTACAATCTGGTGAGACTGTTGACAGCTTCTTCTCTTTCATGGCCAACCTATTCCCGACTGCTTCTACCTGGCGCGAAATGTTGAGATTGACTATCCCATTCACTCCAAACGAGTCATACCTTCCAGCAACCTCCTCGTTGTTACTCATAGCTGTATGCTGTAATCATGCGTAGGGTGGAGATTCATCCACTACTCTAACTCTTTTTGATTAGGTTCAAAATATGACCATTCACAAGGGTTATCACACATCTCCAACATGTAACTTGCGGTCAATCGGGTACCATCCGTGAGTGGCTTTCTTCTCCCCAATAGTCCGCTATTATTTTCGTCAATTTGTTTTGTAACTCGTCTCAACCTGTGTTCTTCTTTGTGGATTACGATTAGTATTACCGACAGCAAGTGACTGTCATCAGGTGCTGTACTCTAACTTCCCCTCTTCAGTTTCCAATCTCCCTTCAAATCACGAAATTTCATTTGATTGAAACGCAAAATCAACCGGGTGTTTGCTGCGTCAATGCACCCTTGAGCTATACAGTTTTGCTCTTAAGCTATATTGGTTACCATGTAGTAAAAAACGAGTAAAACCGTTCAGAAGACCACTCCCCGCTCGGAATGATCATCTCAACTGACCTGGGAACTTCCTGACTAAGGATTCTTTTGTACCGTGGAAATAAAAATCCATGTGGGGATTTTATAAGCTCATGTTTTTGCATATCCGTGGACACAAACAGGCAAAACAACTATAGGTAGCTTTGCCTAGGACAATCATCAGCCAATTTTGATGGCTCGAGAAACACGTCTGTGAGGTATCCTTTAAGTGCAAAGTCTAACCATGTGTAAAGCGGTAGATCTGTGTACGACCTGCAATGCACTCCAAAGCTCCGTTATATGTGTTTCACCTCGAGCGCAGGTCATGGACAGCTCAGGCGAATTTTAGCTGGGCAGCTACCAATAAAGTCTATCTTTGTTAGGTCACACGTAGGTAGAGTACTGCGTTGGATCTGCCGACACGTACGGGGCTGGCGGGTTATACAGAGGACTTCTTTAGTACGTGTGACCCCGCTGGGAAATGGCGTTTTCTACGTGTGACCGAGTATAAAGTACCTTCAACTTGGCCAGGCTGTCTGCCAAAGTAAATCAGTCAGGGCAATGGATCTGATGCCAGAGGGGGGTCAGCAGTGAACTTTTGTGGCGATGTGAAGGTCATGTTTTATGTACCGCTTGTTGTGAACTGTTTCATAGTCTACCATCATTCCGGTGTGAATAAAATTCATTACCAACTGGGAAAACTAGAGAGAAACGCATTAAGAAAATACTCCTTCAAACGTCTGATGAACAAATGATCATCTTTGGAAGGAACTTTACAGTTTTTAACATTTATCAGTAACTTGAGAAGCAGTTCACCCGCTATTAGAAACCGGTCGCTTGATAGATTAAATAACGTGGTTTACTCGCGCTTCGTGTATGCATCTGTAACTTTGTCCAAGATACTTTCTCCTCGTGCAGCGTCCTACCATTGAACGAGCAGTCATTCATCCGAAGGAACCCAAAGCCTCCACTTCTCAACCCCGCACCGCTTCATATACAACATTGGGTTCTGGAGAACTGGGTTATCGGTTATGAACACAGATAGACAATGTTACTTGTGCCTCTGCTAAAGATATCTAGCTCTTAGGTGGTCCTGTTGTAAGAGACAGTGAGCCTTGGCAAACGTTTGATCTGTACTCATCGAAAGTTATCAGTGCAGTCGAGACCCATATTCCAATTTGTAAGGAACCTCGGAAGAAGAGTACAACTATTGTGACTTATTTTTTCACAGCATTGATGTTCAAAAGCACGATAAAATAGGCCGACGTTAATTCGTTCAACACCCCGGATCAACGGAATCGTTAAATTTAAGTTTGTGATGGCCTGTTACTCTCCAAATTATCACTGTCGCTTGGTGTCAGCTGATTCGCTGACTTTCAGCTTCTTGACCACATTGTGTTAAAACCTTTTTCTACTACTCTAAAATAGGAAACATCTTCAAACTCTATCTCGTTTTCTGGTATAAAATGTTTGACGCTTTCATCCGGGTTAAGTGCTTGGCTCCTTCAAGTTGACTAAGATTCAAATTAAATCATGCCTAACGCCTTTACTGCATTACACAGTACGCGTATGTAGCCCGCGCGGTTACACAACAGTGAAGCTGATTCAACCGTCAGATAATATACGCTGTAAGATCTTTTGGTGGTCGTAATGATGGTGGTGGTAGTGATGGTAACTCAATCAACTTGAACAGTTTCACGCTAAACTAGTGAAGTATACACGGACTTAGGAAGAAGGAAGCTGTATTTGGTAGAACAACTGCTTCAGTTTCATAGTTGCCGTGATTATTTAGCTTGAAGGACCGCGGAAAAAGTGAACAGAAAACATTGAACGATAAATTAGCCCCCGGATCGCGGTACAATGAGTGCGCCTGATGATCGCTCCCCCTAAAAAGCAGACAAATGGGAACTGATTCAGGCAAGGAGAAAATTCGAACTCCGGTAAAGGAGAATTGAGAATTTCGCTTTTTCCGTCTGATGCCATTTAGCTCCAACTGATCGTACACTGCTGGTGTGGTATCTCGAATAATTGGCTTATGAAGCAGTATGACGATCGATTTGTTTCTCGTCAACCGGTTAAAACTAAAAGTGTCTGGTCAAACTGTATTTTGCACAAACTACTTAAATGGAGTTGAAAGGGACTATCCAACTGCATGGAAGTGATCTGGTATCAAACCTGATGCCAAATAAGTACACACAAGGAGGGGGCGATAAATTGTCTTCAAGATAAACAGTAGTCCAACAACTTGTTCAAACGTATTCAGGGAGAGAAGGCGTATATAAGATAAAAAATAATTACCAAATTCCCTCGGGAAGGTGCTTTACTCCCATCCGAATGCGATGGCCTCACCCGTTTAACCTACTCCATTTTTGAGTTAACCCAACGAAAGATTTTCGTGCCAATAGCCTTCAACGCCATGCATAGTACATCTGCAAAACACAGTATATCAATCACAATTCTGGTGATTTACCGTTAGATTAGAATATGTCGGCTCCGTGAATGGTAAGTGGATGAAAAAGCTTGAAGAATACAGTACAAAATGATATCTTCAATTTAGCTGGGGTTTTGTACTCAAAGCAGGACATTTATCTTTCTTATAATGTTCTAGTGCTGGCCATAAACTTGGTGGTGATTATGCCGATTTCATTTAAGTCAAGACCAGAATTGCACACGTTACCTAACGTTATTATTGTGCCTTGTTTGTTGCAGATAGCCCAGTTGCGAAGCCAGAGTTCCGCCTCATCACCGCCGATAGTCCGCTGTCTTATTTCAGAGAAATCCTGTCCACTTATTCATTGATTTAGACGGTTGTTCTCGAGTTTTCTTTTGCTCTTCAAACTCACAGAGCTTTATGATCTATAAATTTGTGTCAGGTTTCAACCTCCGGCATTATTCGGAAAACAACTAATAAATTTTCACGATTTTCATGACTGGGTATACTTTAAGCACCTCACACAATTGGCTCTCTGAGGTATATAGAGTGGCTAGCGAAAGATACAGAGCATTCAGAATATAATCTTGTGTGAATGTTTGAAAGAAATGATCAATCGATCCGGTAGGCAGCATCCGTTTTTCCTTTTGGGATCATCAATAGTTAGTAAAATTAAGTAATAGAGCATGGTTGAAGGAGGTGTTCTACTCCAAAACAGAGCTAATCTGTTCTCAAAACGTTTTAAACCTACTAACGATTCAAATCCAACTTTCTTATCTCACATCTTCTATCAAACAGCAAATTTTTTAATGAATATTGTGATTGGAAGAATGACATGAGAGTAATGGAGGATTTGATCCGATTTCATAGGACGAAGTGGTCGTGTATGGAGCAAATGAAGCTTCGACTGAAGAGTTAGGGAGCACTGTACAGCTGTTTTGACTTGGCTGGGTCTCATTGGCTGTGCCAAGTTCATCGACCCAATGGGGGGTTGAACCCTGGACCTCAAAGACGGAACGCAAGCATGCTACCCACTCGAACTGATGTGGAATGATTGTAGCTCGGAATGCGGATGTTGGTGTTGGTGAGTTCTCCAGACAGGAAGTGTTGTTCGCGTCCCTTGAATCCTATTGGTCAATTGCAAACGATTGCTGTGATTTGATTGGTTGTTCCGTTGTCATGGTAACCATCCTTTTCCTCATTGGTCAACTGGCTTTGCTAGAGCAACCGCAAACGGGTTTTGAACCGGTTCCAAACTGGTTAGAACTGGTTTGGACCGGTTCTAGCTGCGGCACCCTCGGGTTAACAGTGTTTCCTTAGATAATGATAGATGAGTTCTAGCTCTATGAGCTTATTAATACTATCCGTTCTGGAGTGTCATGCTTCGATCAATTCCCGTATTGACTTGGTGGGTCCTCTTCCGATTATTCTTGCGTTGTCCGGTTCGAAGACATAGTTCTCAGTATTCACGTGGATGGAGATTTGTGATTTCTCCTCTTATCGTTTGACCGCCAGTGTGTGTTCATGGAGTCGTGTCTCGAGCTTTCTGCTGGTTTGTCCCACGTAGTATTTGTCGCAGTCTTGGCACTTTAATTTGTATACGACTTTTGAGGAATCGTCCTTTGGTAGTTGATCCTTTGGCCTCGACAGGATAGCCCTCATTGTCGCTGTTGTTTTGTGTGCAACCGAAATTCCTAATGGTTGTAACAATCTGGCTGCCATTTCCGAGATTCCTTGTATATATGACAGTGTTATTCGTTTAATCGTCGGTCGTTCTTCTGACTGTGCATCTGAGGCTTCTACCGGGGCCTGAATTTTTGTGCTCTCCTTGAGAGTCGTATGGAAGCAGCGTAGCACGAAATTCCGTGGGTATCCGTTCCGTCGAAACACCTCAAAAAGGTGGGTTTCCTCTGCCTTTTGAAGTTGAAGATTGCTACAGTGCTCGTTTGAGAGGCGTTTGTATGCAGCTCCTCTTCTGTGCCACGGGGAGGTTGCTTTGAAAGAACTATATAAGCCATGTCCCGTTGGGGATTGGCGCTTTCTCTAAGTCGCACTGATGATGTTGCCTAGCTTGGCTACGAAACGTCTGCGGACAACACTTCCTGCTCGGAGAACTCATCAACACTAATATGCTACCCACTCGGCCCCTGGCAGCCGGTAGGACCATTTTCACTTTTCATTTACAAGATACAACACAACCCATCTTTGCGAGCTTGTTACGGGCATATCATTTCATTCATCCCAACGCTGGCCTCCGGGGCTATGACTCGGGCTCAATCCCCATTTGGGTCGATGGATTCGCAATGCAGATGAGATCCAGCCAATTCGAAACAGCCGTCCAGTGCTTTTTAGTTCACGCTTCATTTACTTTATGAACAACGAGCTCATTATATGGACCAAATTAGTCATGGTCAGAGAATGAGGAGATTGCAATTAGAAACGACTTGGAATAGTTGTATAAACTTTACCTGCAGGTAGGCATGATCATGAAGTGGATCCACTGGATGCTGGCTGACGTAGATTTGCGTATTCGGAGTATGTTTGACTGGGAGACGAGAAAGCGATGTCCCGTTCGGAGATCGCATATCAAAGTGATCGATACGTCCGGGCTGAAAACGTCCAGTCATGTTCACCATGATGTAGTTTTTGACGCCTGTGTGAATAGCATTCATCGTAGACAGGAGTGCACACAGGAGAGAAAGTCGTATTAGAAAAAACGCTTGGTGAAAAAATGAACAAAACTAACGTGATATAACTCCTAAGAGCGAAGAAACTCGATAAGCTTGATAATGAACAATGATTTATGAAAAATGACATCTCGTTAATAAGGTTCGACTGAGAACACACGTCGAGAAAAACCCGTAGAATAAAACGATTGGTAACACCAAAAGTGAAGCAACTGAAATTCTCCACCAACTAAGACCGTTTGACTGTCAAAGAAAAGATGTACCACTTGACTGATTTCAGAATCTGTGAGACACACGTCATCATCAATATATATAAATATATAGTGTGTGTGTATGTGTGTGTGCGTGTGTGTGTGTGTGGTCCAACAGCCATTCGTTCTGGAGTTCATCAGAATGGTGTAGAAACACAATGAGCGGATAAGATGATGAATAAAGAGACTCTCCTTGTGCATCGGACGAGGAACAACGAATGATCCCGGAATAAACTGCACTTCGTGGTCAGTTGACACCGATAATTAAAATACTGTCCACCTCAGACTACTCACGTGAACAAAGTTAAGTTAGGAAACTCCATAAAATGAAACAATCAAAGGAAACACTAATAACCGATTGTAGCACGAACACCATCAAAAGATAATTCACCTCAAGAAAGGTAACCCGAATTCATCAGTGAAGAAGAGGTTCCTGTGTACATTTGGGAAATGGGTGGGGCAGCTTCAAGAAGTCCAAGGAATAAAAGGACACTGATTGGTTTATAAAGTGGATTGTGCCATGACTGGTTATCCATGCTCCAGTAGCTGCACCGCGACATCTTGAATTCTCATGTGTATGGTTTACAATAGGAAGATTCTATTTGAACAGAATCATTACAAGGTTAAGGAATAGTTCGTTTTCTGAAGGATTTCAACTGTNTCAACTGTTTTAGCCATATATATATAACCTCGATGGGAATCAAATCAACACCTGGACGCTGCCTACGCTTTTGTGCAAAACCATCGAGCTCTGTTAGCTGAACTACCACAAGCCCACACGGATAGCGTTGATCTTTTCATACCCAGCAGGTGTGACATTCAAAGTTCATCTGTTGCAGCGATAACTATGAAAAAAGAACGGGTTCCCAATTCAGTTTTACAAAAGTACTGTCGACAAACACATTTTTGTTTGGTCTGTGTTTTAAGTGGAGTCTTTTACTGAAAGACTGCTATGATATTGCATGCGCATACCACGCAAACTGAACACACCATCACTATCACCATCACCTTGAACATCATCATCATCATCATCATCATCATCAACATTATCATCATCAATGGTGTGAGCTGGTTGGCACAATGGTGACAGGTACGATTTGCATGCGATGTGTCTAGGATCGAAAGCCCGAATGGGACGGTGAAAATGCACGACTGATGAGATCTGACTAGAACAAAACTTGACCCTAGAGCTTGCTTCCCGAGTGTGTTTCACTGCGTGAACTGAATCTGAAGACCGGTCGGTTCAAACAATAACACTTATTTCATACAAACCTATTCACAAGCATAGCGAGTTGAATGCACCTCAAATAGGCAAATAGCAAATCGGAACCCTCGAAGCGCAGAACTAGCATAAAAATGATGACACTGTAGCCCATGAAACCTATTGAATTCGATCGCTGGCTAATTTAGAAATAACTTTGCTTGGTTGATCGTTTTGGTTTGTGACTAATTAGTTCGAATCTCACTACTTTACCCTCGGACGTCTCCAGAATTACTGTTAGTTCCTGGAGGAAAGTTGCCAAGCGTCTTCCACCCCGACTTTGGATTCCTCATAATCAGGTGCCACAACTTTCCGTAGATATGGATGAGTGTTTTAATATTTTTTCAAATTGCGGTTACCTAAAGTGAATTCCCCATCAATGTGGCATAGCGAAATAAAAGCTTTTCTCCCTGAAAAATAAAGTTTTCAAATCGAAGAGTAGAGCATACCTTGACAACTTATTTTGGGGAATACAGATCTAATATAAGTTCTTTCGGTTTTAATGATTGCTGGGTATTGAGCGTAAAAGGTGAAAAATGTAAAATTTGCAATAATATTATTAGTATGAATTTACCACTATAACCAAGCTTTATTAGCAGTGTGTTGTACCCTTCACTTGGATTTGATTGTTGTCAGTGTCTTATCACGGAATCAATGAATTTTTTCATTTACAGTTCCTAATGATGCAATGTTTTAATAGAACTTGCTTGAACACAACCTGCTCAATTGCATCATTGAGGTTAAGTTGCCATCTAACGGATCAGCAACAAATGTTGATTTCAATTTATGTTCTAGCTCGAACCTTCTGTGACATAACAGTGAATAGCAGTGACTAAAATGGATCTGCAGTGTGCCGAATGAAAGAAGTATTCGAGGTAATAAAAAACTTTGTTTGCCTACATCGTCCCAAATGATGTAGGTTTGAATGACACCATGGTGATAATAATGCTCTGCGTCTCTTTAATTGATTTATATAACCAGTTGGAAGTTACAAGATTACAAATGGAAAAGTAGATTGACTTCAGCGGGAATTTAACTCACTAATTACGCGAGAATAAATGTCCCTTCGCAATCCACCAGTGCTTTTGTTGAAACCCAGGTGACGGATCTACTATGTTAAACTTGTCAGTTCGCAACCAAAGGCGAAATTAAGTTGAATCACTTTTGTTTTCTAATCATATTACTGTCCTCATCAAGTAAAAAATGACTTTAACTGATGTGAACTGATGCATTCTTTGTTCATCGTGACCATCTCCTTTTGAACCCCGTCACTACTAAGTATTGTTTAATTCAGCGGTCAGTGAAACTGTAGCCCGCGGTGAACATTTTTGTATATGGTCTAGAATCAATTTGCACTTTCGTTCAGTCAAATTTTTGTCGCGTTCTGAGCAAAAAACCGTTTATTGCTCAGTTAGACTTGTCATGTCTTATCTGACAGGTTTCGTGCAAAACAAAAACGCGTTTGTGTTGTCACTTTCTTCAATTTCCCCCCGTTTATCAAGTGAGAGTCTGTCTCCTAACACGGATGAGATTGAAGAGTGACTTTGTGACGTTTTCTCGTCCAATATCGGAAAACTGGGGACATCGGTTTTGTTCTACAAAAACATCAATCGATAGGATCCATGTGGACCCATGGCGAAATTTGGTGAAAGCGGCAATTCAAGAGAAAAGAACGAACACGCTCACACACACCTCCAATCGGTTGTCGTGATGCACCGTAGTTGAACGGATGGGGTGTGGTAGCAAATCCTTGAAGGAAGTCCACATCGCTAATCCCAGAGATGCGTACGGAAAACGCTTGTTGATCAAGTGACTCGTCTGTATCTTTAGGGACATCGGTTGCCGCGGCAGCTTCGTCCAATTTCGTGCTGACTTCCAGTGTCCACTCCCCCGGTGCAGGTCGATCGATAGAGCCGACGAACACGGAACTGACCGCTTTCATCAGCCTTTTCAAACCGTCTTCCGTCCCAATCAGTTTTCCTGTCATATGAAAGACAGATCATTCAAGAGAAGGAAAAACACGATGAAGTTTTTATGCAAATCAAACACCTTTCAAACGAACTGTAACAGATGTTTTTTACCTGGTTAAACAAATTCAACTTTAGCTGTCATTTTTTTCTTTCTCGTCAGCTCGTGAAATTAATTTAAGTGAAACAAAATATCATGCAACTATTATTTCTGATCCATTCACAATTGTAAATGTTAATCTTTAGCTGAATGATTCCATATATTCTACCAGAATCTTTTTATATCACTCCTGGAATAAAGTATTTAGCCCGATTATCGTGTGTGACTTTGAACGGTGCACCACTCAGCACTGAATTGTGATGAAACCATTCCGTGTGTCTGTGCGCACGCAGGAACATCGATTAAATGATGCACTCCACTCAGTCGTTTTTATTCATACTTGATAACGATGACCGATACAAAGATAATCTTTCTTCTGTTTGGTTTGCACCTCATCGCGTATTCCCATGTGGAACACAAAGAATAGGCTCAAATCTGATCGGTGATACTATGATTTATGAATCTAAAACATTGATTGCACAAAAACAATGCAACCTAGTCACCTTAAGCGGTCAGAACTGAAAAATTATCAAACAAAATGGTCGCAATTTCAACCCCAAAATTTGCAAAATCGGTGTATAAACTTCCCCTTTTCAAGTGGAAAAATAATCTACGACTAACTGTACTTCAATAGATCAGTAAATCAATCAATCAATAGTTCAATCAATAAATCAAGCAATCAATCAAATGAAAACTATTGTTTGGAGTGAAGTGATCCGTTTATTATCACTAAAACAAAAAAAAACTATAAAAGACGCCTTGCATTTCCCCAGTAAATCCTCAGTTATTCTGTCCCAATGTCGAAACACACAGGATGGGTAATAAGTCCTATATATATATATATATATATATATATATATATATATATATATATATATATATATATAT